TGTTCTGGAACAGTGTTGTAAATACAACTTAATCACTGATTTCTAGTCGTGTCCTCTTTTGGAAGGCCAAACAAAGTAGTTTCGCTTTCACAACGAAACACACAGCGTCACACACGGTGGGTTTGAGTGAGGAACGGCCAGCGGGCTAGAGTGAGCGGAGGCCGGCAGATTCGACGAAAGAGCGGCCGGCCGGCTTGCGGAAACCACATGTGATTCCGTAAAATGCGCTGCACACATCTGAATATTTGGGTAGAACTGTTCTGGAACAGTTTTGTAAATACAACTTAACCACTTATTTCTAGTTGTGTCCTCTTTTGGAAGGCCAAACAAAGTAGTTTCGCTTTCAGGACGGCGGCCCAGATTGAGCGGAGGCCGGCCTAGAGTGAGCGGCGGCCGGTGGATTCGACGAAGGAGCGGCCGGTGGGCTTGCGGCAACCACATGTGACGACCCCGGGCTGGACTCCGCTTCGTCCACGATGAAAGCCGATCCGGCAATCCACAGCGTGAAGTTAATATATTTCCTCAGCGACCAGCACGGATCAGCTCCAAGCATGATGAAGCAGATATCGTCCTCTTTTGGAAGGCCAAACAAAGTAGTTTCGCTTTCACAATGAAACACAGCGTCTTCACGACATGACGGCAGCAACAATACTACAGCGAGAATAAAAGTTACACCTTCTTTCTTTGCGTGAACATTTGGGCGGCGTTTTGCAGATCTTCCCACATCGTGACGTAGACATGTGGGGCCGTGTTAGAACGAGCCGTTTTAGGTAGGCGTGGTTGACTCTTAACTTTTATAAAGAATATCTCTTTGGATTTGAGACTTTAGTCTTTGCAACTTTACAGATCTTCTTTATGCACCAAGAGCTTGTAACACTTCAAAGAGAAAGGAAAAATTGAAATCGCATCATATGACCCCTTTAAGACCACACATTTAGTTCTATTGATTCACTTTTTGTACCTTTGATGCATGGTGTCCACTACAGTGGACATATATGTAACTCCCTCAAAATATAATATATTTACAAAAAACATATTGGGCATGATTTTTCACTTGTTTAAAAGTAAAAACAAACATGTAAAAAAATATATTACTTTGTGATTTAATAATTCATGCATCAGATGGCTAAATATCAATGTCTTAGCAGTTAATGTCTTTTAACATCCATTTCTAAATGAATGTCAGAAGAAAGTTAACACTGTCATAACAGCAAGCTACACGTACCTCATTTCTGGTTTTCTTCAGTTTGCGGTCATTCTCATAGAGAACCATCCACAGAGCAAACAGTGCCATGATGACGCCATGCCCGAGGTCTCCAAACATCACAGCAAACAGGAAGGGAAAGGTAATGATTGTATATGGAGCTGTGAGAAGGTGTGATAAAGAAGAAAGCTTACACATCTTATCTAAGCATATGTATGAAGCATTGAGGGCATGTTAAACCTGCTAACATGAAGTCAATTTTAATGTTAAAATTGAGTGTTTTTTTAATCGCTATCCTCTCACCTGGGTTGACCTCTCTGTAGCTGCTTACGCCGTAGGCATCCACTATATTCTGAAAGCCTGAGGTAAACTTGTTGGTGCGTATGAGGGTTGGTGGAGTGTCGTTGCTCGGGATACGATTGACAAATGAGGGAACTGTGGCTCCACTCTTCCTCTGAAGGAACAAAACAATAGTTAAGAGATGTGTGCACAATTATTAATCAGATGTATCTGAATTAGTGCACCTTTGAAATGATGCGAAGTACTCACCGATCCATCCTCTAGAGCTCTCCGAAGTGCGGGCAGATCATTCACGGGACACCAGACCTCAGCTATGAGGCACTTGTTTGTGACATCAAAACTGCAGAGGTTGAGGATGTGATATATGGCCTTCATTTTCTTAACTTGGATCACCCAAATGTACACAGACTCTGAGGCCTTGATCAACACCTGCCTCAGATAGTCCTCAGTACGGTGAAGAACCTACACATAAACCATCCAAATTAATTCAACAACGGTTTCAAAACTATGTCAAGCTAAACCATTTTGCATATAACATTTTAAGTGTTAAACATAGCATATAGTGGTTTAACCAGGGGGCCTTAGCAAACTTCAAAGGGGGCAGCAGGATTACTTAAAATATTTCATATATTTATTTACTTATTTATTATGAAATTATATATTACTCTAATGCACTGTAATAATCTGAATTAAAATGCTAAAAACAAGTAAACTAGTATATTTCTTTTCTAAGCTTTTTTCCCCTCAACAACTTTTGTTTTTATTGAAGAACACAGTTCTTGAAATTTCTGCAATCACAAAATGTATGTAATATATCTCTCAGATTGTGTTGGTAAGAGTGTGAAAACAAGCTGTTTTGTCATAATTACAGCAGAAAATAAATCTTTTAGCCTGTATGGGGCACTTATAGGATAAATGTGTATTTTCCCCCAGGGTCCACCATACATGGCATTTTGCTGCCCTGGTTTCTGAACTGTGTTCTCAGATGAGCATGCAGTAAAAGCATTTTGCTGTGCTCTTCTTCAAATATATTATCAATCCTGTGAGGAACATTTTCTAAGCACAGAAACAACCCAATTTACTTTTCATGATTGAGCCTTTCTATTTTCATAGGTCTTGAGAGGAACAGCGAGTGTTGAGAGTATCGAATATACATGATTCACTGGTGCCTGTAGTCTGTGAGAAACTTGTCCACAGTCTCATGAACATCATGTGTTGAGCTGGACCACTAACACAATTTTCCTTCTCTCTTTTACAGAGCAGTCACAAGCAAACTTAAATGCCCTCAAACCTAACCTGCCCCCTACATTCCTCTACTGCATGGCTGTCTTGAATTGGTTAGGAAAAATTAGTTACGTAAATCCAAATAATTCTAATGGAGATTCAATTACGTACACTTTCTGCTCTTTTAGATGAAGTATCTGAAGTACCCTCCACCACTGAAGACAGAGAGTGCAATCAAACCCTTCCATAATTACAGCCCATCATTTATTACTCTGCATGATGCAAAACTCCACAAACCTTCACACATTTCCGGAGCTGCAACTAACAATTATTTTAATAATTGATTAGTTGGCCGATTATTTTTTCGATTAATCGGATAAAAAGCCTCTTTTTTTTTTTATTGACAAAACATAATTCCATATCCTGCCCAATGCTGTCCTTCAAACAAACATGCCAACTAAATGCTATGAAAACATACTGTATGGTGAATATATCTCTATGCTACACATTATGTGTAAAAGAGTTATAAAGCAGTTTAAATGGACAGTTTAAACAGACAAATGAACAAAGGGCAGTTTAATTCCCTATATTAAAAATGGAAATAATAATGATGAAGATAGTAAAGAAAAACACAAACTCAGTGTTAACAGATAAGAAGAATGTTCTGCAGGAACACACATTCACTCTGAACACAGTAACCTGTTACTGTCATTTCTTTATTCAGTAAATATAAGAAACGTCATACATTTATATTCAATCACACTCTGTTATCCCTTTACAGTTACTATCATAAAATACTTGAAATACATGTTGACTTTTAAACCTAAATTTAACATCCAATAACAGATATATCAGCAAAATTAATATTATTGCGCTGAATATTACTTTTCTCCTTCTTTACTGCGTTCCGTCTGTTTGACATGCATGCGCTTGCCGGCGCTCGTTCAGTGAAGTCTGAAGTTTAACGCTGTTACGTCCCAAGGCGTAATTATTTTTATTGATTGTATTTTGTTGTTATATTTGTGCAGTATTTGATATTGCTGCTATGTAGATGCAGTTTCCCTTTTGGTAGTGTTGTGGTGTTTTGTTTTCTCTCTCTCTCCTCTACTCCATGCAAAGTTTAATGAAGATCAGCTGATCCTAGTTGTCATCAACCACTGGCTTGCTTTGATTGGCTGCTGGAGGGAGGGCTTGTGGATAAAGCTGGAAACTCTGTGTGAAGCGGCCCCTTCTTTGCCTTCGCTGCCTCCGGAGACTGTTTTCTCCTGTCCCAGACATTAGCATGTGTGCTAGTAGTTGGTCTGTTGGCCTTCTTGTTGTTGGTGTACAACGTGTTCACCTTTGAATCTTTGGAGAGATGTTGTTGCTTTGTTTTACTCCGGTAAATTCACAACTTGAGATTTAAGTTCAAACTTTATAATTGCTATTTTTGGAGAAGTAGGGAGGTGGATGCCTTTTTTTAATGTCCATGTTATCTCCTGTTTTTGGTTAGAAAGGGAGTAAGGTAAGACTTCTGTTGTTTTGTTTTGTGAGTTTAGAAAATACTCCTCCCCAAGTTAGACCTTTTATGTTTGTTGTTTTGGCCTGGTCCCCTCCCAAAGCTTTATTTGCTCCCCTCTTTGTACCTTTTTTTTTTTGTAATCGTCAGATAAACCATTTTTCCTGAGTGTTACAAAAATCTGTGTGATTTTTGTGGAGTGCTGGGACAGGACAGAGGAGTTCCTGATTGCCTATTGAGTTTTTTCTGGCTTGCATTTGTAAATTTCCTTGTTACCCGACATAATGTGGACGTGGACGGCCGAAGTATACTTTAGCCTGCAGCCAGACTCTATTGGGGTGTGTTCAACTAGAAGAGGTGCGGCGCAGATCGATCAGTGTTTGACATCCGCGAGAGCGATTCAAAAGTGCACGGAGCAGTCTGCTCTCTTTGGCTCTCGTGGTACTGTAATACACCGATCGGTCTGCACAGTCGGTTCTCGTCAATTCGAACACTCCTACTAGTTTACACCGGTTACACTCGAGATGTGGCGCACACGTGAGGCTGTAGTGCTAATGCGTCCCAGCCCCCTTAGATGTAAGGCTACATTTACACTGGTGCGTTTGTTTTAAAATGAAAACGATCCTCGTCATACTGGCGTTTCCACTGCGTTTCAAGCCGGCTTTCCACTATCTCCGACGAGCGACAGACCGGTCATTCAGTCATTCATTCATTTCCAATGGAGAGTAGTGCGGGAGATGCGTGGAGTTCCGATCATATGCAGAAGTCCGTTCATACTACATGACCGAAAGCGCGTGTTATGTGGCCATTCATGCAAACTGTAGCATCATGCTACATAAGACAATAAATAAGATTTATATTCCGCTTTTACTCAAGACTCACTTTAAACCACCATCGAGTGTTTGTAATAACTTCCGATTGCCGTCTAATGTGTTTTGGCCATGTAATGTTGCTGAAATTAAATGTTATTACGAGTCAGAGCAGCGATCATGGAAGAGAACACAGGCAGACAGCGCTGGAAGCTGCTAATGCTCAGTAAATCAGTGGAAAATAAATAGAAATCATGATTCTGTCTGAGCTATGCGAACAAGCACTAGTGTAAATGTAGCCTAACAGATGTGTAAACTGAAGACTATTTGAGCTTTATTAAAACTATTTGTGTTGGTTACATTTTGTTCCTTTGTGCAGTGGCTCAGGAGAGGAGTCTTTGAGATGGTATAAACATCAACAAGCTGAAAAATAAAACCAAAGTTTTTTTTTTTTTTTTTTAGATAATGTAATCTTGTTCAAATTGATTTCATAAAATTGGTATAGAAAAAAAATATCGTTCAGGAACCGGTATCGAAGTCAAGGTATCGGTATCGAAAATCTTTGAACAATACCCAGCCCTAGTTATTTTTGGCTAATTTGTACTTTACACAAGTACTATTGAAACAATATATTTGCACTTTTTATTCCGTTACATTTCTAAGAAAAAAGATATTTTGTTTCTCTGAACAAGTGAGATCATGTTTGTGTGAATTTTGTTAAGCTTTTATTGAAAATAAGCAAAAAAATCCTTATTACAAACAAATTGGCTGCCGCTGAATTTAACAAAGTCAAGTTACAGCTTTGAGGTTTCAGTTTAACATCTGACGTGTCTTACAGCCTTCCCTGGTAAAGACAAAACCGTGGTTATACGGGATGCTTGAAGATTTTGTGCATTAAAGTTGCTTTCATCAGTTTCAAAAGACGTTTAACGTACAATTAAACGTCAAAGATTTATTTTTTCTTTCCAATAAAGATTAAGCTGAGCTTATTAGTAACTAAGTTAAAGGTAAAAAACTGGCCAGTAAATGACTAAATCACACAAGTGAGATCACACTTACACCACACTTATTCATGTTCCACACAGTCAAAATGAGAAAATGTGTGTCAAACTGTAATAAGGGTGAAACCGAGCTCATCTGGACTCACCGTGTGCAAGTCCTGAATGCGTGTGCGGAGCCCCTGCACCACATCTGTCCTCTCCTCATTACTGTTGGGGTATGGGTACAGGTGACAGTGGTAGCTATGGAAACAAAAACAGCCTTACTTAAAACTAAAACTACAGTACTTCTACTTTCTCTTAAGAACAAAAACACTCGGAAATAAATCAAATAAAATTAAGAAATGAAAGCATGAAGTTTCCCCTACATGTAATAAGGAACAAGCTATGAAATGAAAAGGATCTTTATGAAAATGGAGTAGCTCCCCGCCTGTCTCTGTGGCGCAATCAGTTAGCACATTGGTGGTTAACTGACACAGATATGCGGTAGCTCAACACAAGCTATTTATTTAAACCAGACTGATTAACACAATCACCTCAAGTAGAATGTAGGAAGTTGAATTAAGAGCTAAGTTACCAGTCACAAATCTTCTTAACTTTCTGTCCAATCTGATCTCCCCAGTAAGAGATGAGGAACACCACACTCCTGGTTGGCTCCCCCTGACAAACCAGACAAAGAACAAACAAACTAGACCATCTCAAAAGACTTGGACATTACAAATTTTAATTATTAATTATTTATTTAAATTATATCAAGCATCCAGCATTACAGTAAAATCTTGGATCAAACTGACCACAGAAAAAGAAACAAATAGGTAGAAAATAATATTTAACTATAAATTTTGTTACCAAAAACAACATATTAAATCAAACTATGATGGAGATGCCAACTGGTCTCACCGTATCAGGGTCCTCCAGAAGCCCGTCTACCTCAGAGTAGTTGAGGATGGTGTAGCCCTTACACACTCTCCAGAGCATTCGCTCAAATGCCTCGATTTTTACGCTCTGGATCAGCCCAGAAATGAACCTGTGCAGGAGGGACAGAGGAATAAGAGCTTTACTTTACAAAAGTAACATGAATTCAAAAACTGACATTACCACAGGTATTACCATCAGCAAAACCACAGGTTTTGCATGCTTTTTAACATGCATACAAGAAACAGGATGTTGAATAACAGCTGAGATCTTATGGGTGAAAGTTACTGATTTTAAAGTCCCCCTGTGGTGAAAATCAAGTTTTTTATGTTGTTTATTGGTCTATGTGGTGTTTTTAATATGTTTTTAAACAAACCATGTGCCAATCCATTTATCAACACCATTGCATAGTATTTTCTCCTTAAAACTGTAGTTTCCCAAAGGCAGTCACAGAAACGCGGTTTGAAACAGCCTTTTTTTTGCTACGTCACAAAATTCAATAACCAAGTCTCCTTGCTTATGTTGAGCATACCAGCTTATTTCTGTTTCAAACACATATGGCTTAATTAAACCATTATTTCCTCTTGCCATTGCCATTGTATTGCGTTTACTACAGTTCAGTTAGTAGATCAGTAGGCGCTGGCTGGTGTGTGACAGTGGAGGCGGGGCTAATTTGCATATTCATAGATCCGCGTATAGTAAATGAGGCAAGGGTGTAGAGTTACATTCAAGCTATTTTAAGGGAAAAAACATTTAAATATGTCATTTTGATGATCAAAGATGAGTTTTAAAGTATAAAAGTTTTGACTACAGGGGGACTTTAAAAGATGATTTTAAGAGAAAAAGTCTGCACATGGAAGGTGTGCAACAGCAAACTGCGCTGATGATGAAAATTTCATCACATCTGTTGGTGAGCCAAAGCAGGACTTGGGCAAGGGCAGTATACTTTCAGCTTTATGTTTTTAAGCACTGCTCACCCAAGCTTGGCTCCAAGCCTCTGCATGCTGGTGTAGTCCATCATTGGTTCTTTCTCTAGGAAGGGAAACTCTTCATACTGGACCCGCGACGGCTCTCTCTGCTCATACACAAGCAAAAACACAGCAAGAGATTAGATTCACACACGTACACACATCGTCTCTGTGATCAAGAAGAAGAGGTCAAGAGTTAAGCCTATTTGTAAAGCCACTGCTGGCTGCTCTCAAAGTTCTGGCAGTCAGTGAAAATCAGGCGACTCCAAGTCACCTTTGTGATTCCCACAGTCCTGCTCTCTGGAGATTAATTCCTTTCAATTACACCAGAGAGGTCGAACATAATCAAGCACCAAAGACATCAACAGATACAGAGAAACAAAAGCCAAAATGCAGACAGTACACAGAGCGAGAAGTTTTAAAATGGGGCTGTTTGATTAAAAATATCAGTGTGATAATGAAGGACAAATGAAGGTTAAATCTTTCATCCAGTGAAAGATGGATGAAAAAGTTCCAAACATATGACAGGGAATCACATGACCTACCTCTGCACTGCGGTGCACAAAGTTGCGTGTGATGTGCAGCATGTGTGTGTACTCAGTCAGTTCTAGAAGGTTCTTCTGGAGTTTCTCCTTGTTTCTGGTGACCTCACTCAGCTCCAGTTCCAGTCTCTGAAGTTGCTCCTAAACAAAGCATACAGGAATCGGTAATAACTAAATATCAGCAGTCATATCAATGTTGTAAGCAGTGCGGTGTTCCTGAAAGAGAGGGATTTCAACTGACTAAATTACATCCAATAGATACAATAAAATGATTAAATAAAGGCATGTCCAACTGATGGATAGCCAAAGAAGATTTAATAAAGGACCGATCACAAGTCAGTAAGCAAAAAATGTAATGACATCATCGCTGTAAATCTAAACTTGAATGGCAAACATTTGTAAGAAAAAATGATGAGGACGTTGAAGATCTTGATGAAGATGTTTATTTCAGCATAGCAGTGACAAAGTACATGTAGTACCTTGGGTTCAACGGAGTCGGACTGAACCCCGAACATCCTAAGCTCAATCATTTTATACAGTATTACGTTCATCTTCCCGCTCAACATGTAAATTAAGTTTCGTTTTAAATGTAAATTGCAGATAACAATGAAAGTGATAGCCTTCCGTTCCCACATCTTTGGTAGACTTTCAGGTGGGAATAACCAAATGTTAAGGTGATAAGATTAAACAGAATCCATAGCAGTTATTTCATGTACCCTTTTGGTCAGCAGATGGTTCTTGACGACCTGCTGCTTCTCCCACGCTATAAGTGACAAATTATCGCTCCGGAGGTACTATTTACATATGATTAAGATCGGAAAGAACTATCTATATGATAATTAAGCTCTTTGTAGAGAAAGGAGCATAGTTTAATACACAATTTGGAGTGGAAGCTGGGTCGAGGCGGACTATAATTTCTTACACATTCTATCAGTGTAAATCAATGGAAAAAATTGTAAACTTTCAATTTGTTATATTTAGTAAAAATTAGGGCTGCACGATAAATCGCATATGATATTTAACGCGCATCTTATCAGTAAAGCCGGTTCTGTAATCAGCGGTAAATCTCCATCACCTGCGTGCTTTCACATTGAGCAGCATTAACTACACAGAGCCGTTGTTCA